CAGTTGAATGCCTGTTAAGCGGACTTCTATTATAATAGTATTACTCACTCTCCATTAAATGAGGGTCACTTAATATTAACTTTCCAAAAGTTGCTTCTCATATATAAAACTGTAGATAAAAACTCTATGAAACATTCAACCTCTGGCATGGGAAGTGGTCACATTGACTTCACTAAAAGTGATCGCTAATCTTACAGGAACTTTTTGATCATAATAATGTAAGTGCATCCTCATTCAAAGATTACTGAAATTTTCCCGCTTTATTTATAGCAGATGTTTGCTATTCATGCGTACCAAATACTTTAATTACAACAATTTTAAAATAGCACTGATTGTTCCATTATTTATTATAATAAATAGATTTCATTATTAGTTGATCTGGTGTCCTGTTTGTGTAGTTGTTATACAATTTTAATAAATTCATATGTTGCATTTCAAATTTCTAAGGATATTCAAGCAAATGAAGGGCTTACAAGCAAAAATGAACAAGGAAGTTTTAGATMGGTTTACAGGCAGACGGACCACTTCACATGGATCTAGAGATGACAGTCAAACTAGCAGGACACAGCAAAGGTAAAATTAGTCTGTCTCACTGAGCTGGGTGCAACTTGCAAATCAAAACATATTGTGAAAGAAAATGGAACTTCAATTACCTTGGATAAACTCTTAATATTAACTCCCTATGAATGATGTGTTTTTACTATAAATATTTACAATAGATTAATATTGTTTTACTTCATTGTCCTCTTTGCTACTTTTTTTATCTCGACCTATTCAGTCCTATTGAGCTATGTTGTCTAAGTGTGAAAAGGTTTTGAACCTATTTTACATGTAGAGAGCAACCAAGAGGAGTGGGAGAGCAAGATCCTCTACGTGTTTCCCCAAGAAGACCTCCAGACTTCAGAGATGAGTGGTATGCACAGTAAATCTTATATTAGCAACAGCTAGCTACAAAACCCAAGAATTATAAATCAGACTCAAGATCTTTCTCTCGTTTGTTTGTTTTTGTTTTGTTGTTGTTGTTTTTTTGTTTGTTTGTTTATTTATTTATTTTTTGGCAATTACATATATCAGGACACCACCAACTGGAACCTTTCCTTATGGAGATGGAGACAGATTTCCTGGACATCCAGGGTAAAAAGTAGTATAAGCCAAATTGATTTGTTAATATTCTTGGTAGTCACATGACAAAAATATCTCTTATATTAATTTAATAACAACAAATATGAAAGCAACCATGTTTGGAGGTGTAACTAAACAATAAAAACAACAAATGGGAAATCTCAGTTTTTCACATCCCCCAGTCATGTGAAAACAAAAAAATACTGGTTTACWTAGAGCAGTGAATTAGAGTTTATTGAAGTTGATTTTATAATTAATATTATTATATTATTATTTTTATTTTTATTCAGACTTCTAAGTGAAGTCACTAATTTCTGACTGCTGTAAATTGCTTTTTAGTGGTGGTGGTATGCTAATGGATCCATTTAGAACAGGAGGTGGTCTGCCATCTATGCCAGGAACTGGATCAGTACCTGGACAGTTACCAAGGTAACTTAATTTTCTCTGGGCCTTTACATGAATGTGTTGAACTTTAGTACAGACTTTATTTCCAGTCTTGCAGCTTCAGTTTAGTGTATGCACTCTATTATTATAATTAATGTTGTTGTTTTATTATTATTATTATTATTATTCCAGAGGGTCTGTTCCTCCTGGAGCAAGGTTTGATCCATTTGGACCAGTACCACCAGGTGGGGCAAGAGGAGACACACAATCTGGCAGATTTGCAGGGTGAGTTACTTTTCATCATAATTCACAATTATAAATTATGAAGATAAATGGGTTATTTTAAATATAATTATGAAAAACACATGATTGATTGACAGTCCTAAATATCTGACCTTAGTAATGACAATCGAATAAGCTGGAAAATATGACTACATGATGTAAAAGAAAGGTGTCCAAGGCATTGTGCACATGATCTTGTAAAGTTATCACAAAATAATTTAAAAAATACAAAAACGTGTGAACTTTGGAAAGTTCACAGCACGTTCCCAATAACATACAGACCACAGTGCCAATTTTCAAATCAATTTCTAGAACATAACATATACTGAGGAGTCATTTGAAAAAATGATTACTGTAAATTATTATAGTTTATTAGCGTGTCTCTCTGTTGCATATAATTATAAAGTGATTATTGATTTAATTGCCACAAGTTAGTCGATGCAGTAAAAAACATCACACACACAACAAAGAAAAACAGAGAAAAAAGTAAAATATTTAAGAAAAAAGAAAAAAAGGAATAAAATAAAAGGGAGCAAAGAATGCTGGGAACTAGAAGAGTTATCTTTTGTCATTTACCTTAATTGGACTTTTCTTCAAATTTTTTGTGCATGATTAGTCATTTAGTAAACTATTGTAATTTTAAATTTATTTTAATTGTTTTCATTAATTTGTTAAAGGCCTGATCCTGATGAGCTGCCACCTCCAGGATATGACGATATGTTTATGTAGATAGCTCTGACTTGATTTGAGACTTTTCCACAGTACCTTGCTTGTCCACTAAACAAAAGGCTACAATTAAAGAGTCTTATTTTACTGCTTTGTTATAATTAAGCTGCCAATTGTTTGATTAAAATTATTTAAGTGCAATTAAAAAAACATAAAATGGATTTCTGGAGCATTTATCAAAGTATTTTTTAATGTACAGCTTTAATCATGTGATAAGATTTAAGTATAGTTTAAAACATGATCTCGAGTGTTTTAAACGGCTTAAAAAACTCCAACACTTAAAATTCTTGGAGAAATTGCCGTTCAAATATGTTCAGAGATAAATGGGGCAAACTGATCATGCTCGAATCACTCTACAAAGCACTCTTGTCATCCAACATTGAATACGCATAAAGTAAAATAGAAGCGCTCTTGGCTGTTCACTGAAATCGGTTGACATCCTGCATTGGTCAATGATCAGGTTTCAAACCTGAGACCTTTGCTAGGGTCATGGACCTTTATATCTGATAAAGATCACTCTTATTAGTATTCTTTATATAAAGAATACTAATAAGGAGTGTTTCATCAGATATAAAGGTCCATGCATGTGACCAAATAGGCTCATTCTATTGGCCTAGTAGCTCATTAATTATGTATGAGTTTTTTAA